GTGTGGGTAGAAAACGAAAAGACTTGATTGAAGTGAATGTGATCCCTTTGTTCTTACGATGCTTATTCTAGCATTAAGTTGCTCCTAGAGAAAACAGTTTTGAATTATTAACTTTCATGGATTTCTCAAGCTTATGAGAAAGGAAAAAATGGGATTTCAGCTCACATACCTCTTTGAAAGTAGGCAGTCTATACATGCATTCTGTTCTTAAACACCTATTCCTCCTTTTGTACATATATAATATAAGAAAGGGGGACCAAAGAGAGCCCATATCTGACATATAGACATTTGAATACAGTGGTTCTCACCTCAGACACTGCCTTCAACCATGAATTGTCTTGAGGGGTGACAAGCCCCCTCTTAACATCCCCCTCCAGAAACAAGGTTATAATAGGTCAAAAAGGTTTGGCTGAATGGCTAGTGAAATACTGCTCATATTATAGTCAAATATAATGAACGTACATTATTAGAATAACAACAATTAAGATGACACATTATAATGTAGTCCTAAGCATCTTTACTCAGATCTAAATCCTACAGAGCTCAAGCAGGCTTATCCCTTTGTAAATAAGACTAGGATTCAGTCACTGTTTTCCAAAAGATATGTGACTCATGCTAATGACAAAATGGAATTAATTTAACTATTGTTATGAAATAATTTCTGTGAGTTATAGACGAGATTCCTGTAAAAAAAGAACAATTTGTGTAAGTGTTCCTATATCTTGGTTTCTGTCAGAAGACTCCCAAGTTCCCTCATTTGCTAAATGAAATGAAATAACATAAGCAACAACACAACAAAAATCAAGTCATTTCTTTGATTATGCTAAATAAGGATAGAGATGGGCTGCATAGCTCAAGTGGGAGGAACCATAGTACCTACATGGAAGCTTCCAAGCTTATATCCCTGGCATTTCCAAGTAAGCTGAAGAAAAGACTCCTTTTGGAAGCTTTGAAGCTCTGTCTTGTCTGCCGTTCATTGCACACAGTACAGAGCTAGAAGTAGCAATGGTCAAGTTCACTATAAGTCAGTTTTATCTGTTCATGGCCAAATATTAGAGAGTCATGACAGTATTCTATTGTTTTTATATGCACAGAACAGAAAACATGGAAGCCACCACAACTGGTTGGCAAGATACCCATGACACATTAGTTGTATACTTAATTGTGCAACCAATACCTTGTCACTTAGCTGTGGCCGCTTCCACTTTTCCTTTCTGTACATTAAAAACACAGTTGCCTAGACTTTGATCTCCTTTCAAGCCATCTTTCCATTTCTGTCCCTTCTTTCTGGAAGTATAACAATAACTCTCTGACTCGCAGTGATTCTTGGTTTTGGAGTGGGTAAGTCTACTACTGTGCCAAAATCAAAATGTTTTACCAAATTGGGAAAGTTCTGAGAGTCTGGTAGCCATATTCCTCATACGTCATGCCCCCGCTTTTAAATCAGAATACTGTCAGTGTTGGTTCACGGTAACAAATACTTTGGCCGAGATTCTACTGTTCATTTTACAGTTGCATAAGAGGAATCACATAAGTTGTCACAGCTAATTGCAGCTAAGGGATGAGGTGCTGGGCATGCGATTCAGAGCTCCACAAGGCGCATAGCTATCTTATTCCCAGTAACTAATCAATTATCAGTTTAGTGATTTTATTCTTAGAGATTTGGTTTTGTGTGATGTTTTGTAAGTTTATTACTGTGAGGCCTTGCTGAGTTTTTTTTTTACTGGGCTTTCTTTTTGTCTCCTGACCACATGGCCTGGGGGTGGGGCCTAGGGGTGGGACTTCCTGCTTTAAAAGAGCGTGTCCCAGGACTGCGCACCTAACTGTGCACGAAATTCTCAAATTTTGTATCTGGCCTTAATATGGTAAATAGGAAAGCCAATTAGATTTGCATAAGCCGGGGGGTCAGGAAAGTTTTAAGGATCAGATCATACTTTTGCACTATTAAAGAGCAGGCCAGGTAGGTAGGGCTCATCAGCCATGGAAGGCAGCCCATCTAGGAGAAGGAAAACTCCGATTTCAAACCTCCACCGCCTTGTGGCTATATCCACTCATGGAAAAGGCTTCAGGAGTTAACCTTGAGGCAAAATCCGGAGCTGGAGTCCTTCTGCCAACTCCTGCGACATTGTGTCCTTCTGCCAACTCCTGCGACATTGCTGGAACCAGTTGCATTGGCTCTTGCCTTTCCATTGGACCATTTCAGCAATGTGGAGGGGAGGGATCTGCTGCTTGGGTAACAGCTTATCCTCCATATTACCTTACCTGGGCTTCATGCTCTGGAGAGGACACTCCTCGATTCAGAGCATGTTACCATAGTCTCTCGAGACTGAAGGATGCCTATGCTACTGTGATTTTATTATATGTTTATATTATGTTATATAAGCTTCCTGGAGTAGTGGCCTGGCCACTAGATGAGCAGGACAAAAATTTGAACAAACCTTTGCAATCCACAGAATCCTCTTGATTCCTCTTACGTTTACATAACATCCCAGCAGGCCGGTGTACAGGAGCCATACACCTTGGTTTAAAGGAAAGTTGTGTATCATCGTGCGCCTGTCATTAAATGTTTGTCTTTCCTCTGATCCTTCCCTCCACCCCCATCTTCAAACTAGGATGGTACTTTGTTCGACGGTAGGCCGATAGAGTCTCTCTCGCTGATAGACGCCGTAATGCCAGATGTAGTACAGACAAGACAGCAGGCTTACCGGGACAAGCTTGCCCAGCAACAGGCCGCAGCTGCAGTGGCTGCAGCTCCCACGAACCAACAGGGGTCTGCAAAGAATGGGGAAAATACCGCAAATGGAGAAGAAAACGGAGCCCACACTATAGCAAGTAAGATGGTTATGCTCTTTTTAAGAGGTGGCGTCATTTGTAGAAAACAGCCTGCTTGTAATATCTTGATAAGCAGTATTTGGGAAACCAAAACTGGTAGACGGACTATTTGTAGTGTTCTCTTCTGCATCTTGTATTTTTATTGAGAACATTTTACAGGTACTTTGCCTTCCCTATTACAACTGTTTCTTCATTATTCCTCAGAAGTTCGTTTGTGGCATGGTTGCAGCCAAACATGGATGAAGAAAATGGGTGTAATACCATTGCCTTGCCATGAAATGAACCAAATTGAGTTACTGCCTTAAGCACATACACAGCCCTGGAGGTTATGTTAAATAAAAGTTTGAAATCCAGTTCAGAACTATTCCCATCGATGCACTTTGTCACCCCTTCTTATTTCCATGTTAGAAGTCAGAAGCCACAAATCTCCCCCGCATCCCTTCAGCATCAAAGTGAGAGCCCTCCCCACCAAAAGGTACAGTGGTGCCTTGCAAGACTATTGCCTCACAAGACGATTAATCCGCAAGACGATTGGTTTTTGTGATCACTGTGGCGTTTCGCAAGACAATGTTTTCTATGGACGATTTTCGCAAGATGATTCCCCCCCATTGGAACGCATTATTTAGATTTCAATGCATTCCAATGGGGAACCGCGTTTCGCAAGATGGTGTTTTCACAAGATGATGTTTTTTGCGGAACGAATTAACATCGTCTTGCGAGGCACCACTGTAAAAGGAAGATCCCAAATTTGTATCCCAAAAGCAATCTCCTTTTCTTGAAGGAGGATACCCAGTTCTCCATTTTCTGTTGTCAGTGAAGGGGAGGTTGTACTAGATCTGTGTGCATGTCCTCCAATTTATTTTGAAGGCAAATGCAGCATTTGGGAGTGAATCCTGATCTAGGTCTAGGGTGATCTAGGTCTTTTCTGACTTCATTTGTGTCCCAGATCCAAATTTATTAGTAAATTCAGATTGTCAGCCTTTCCACTGACTACCACTGGAAAACGAAAACCGCTGGTTAAAGGATGAAATATCAGTCAACCGTTCTTAAATCATTATAAAAATAATTGTGTGACATCAAATTGATTCAAACTTATTTCTAGATAGAAATGCATAGAAATTGCCTTAATATTGTGTTTTAACAATGTAAGCACCCTTGGGTCCTTTTCAAAAACCTCAATAGTAGGAACAACATATTTAATAGATACTTACGTTTTGGTTAAAAATTTGTTATATAGTACTAGTCAATGTTTTTATAATGTTGATTGACTGTGCTCAATATTTTTGAATAATTTATTTATTTATTAAATTTATACCCCGCCCCTCTAGACCATGTCTAGTTCTGGAGAGACACCTTGGGATTGTACAGCTTGCTCAAGGCCACACAGGCTGACTCTTCTCTCTTGAGGCCCAGTGGGTAACTGAACTCCCAGAGATACTTAAACCATGAGCTATAATCAGTCCATCTTAAATCATTTCCAGGTGTGAAATGATACAGTGATTGTGTTCAAACTGATGTTGTTTACCAACAAACCATTATCATTTTGTACAGGATTTGAAAAGGAAAGAAACACACTTAAAAGGACTGAATCTCATAGTGTAACATGCTATGTTTACACATTGTGAATGCGATGTTCTTGTGTGTTTTATCATGGCATTTAATTTCATTGTACAGAATAAAGTAAATTCAGTTCAATTCATTTCAATTCAGCCTGGGGTCTAAACTCCTTACCAAGTGTGAAATGCCAAATTGACTCACCCAATTTGTAGTTTGTGTCTACTATCCTAACCAATCATGTATATAGCAATCATATATATGAATGTCTCTTATCTCTAACGAACTGGACTTTAAAATATAGCAGTTAGTCTTCATCAGAACATTTTGTTTCTCCTTCTTTTTCCTTCTTTCATTCTTTCTTGTCTGACAAAACAGCTGTGACTTTTTTTTTCAGTGATGCACGTGCTCTTTGGAGACAAGACATAAATAGAGGAATAAACATGCCATATTTCAGACAGGTAGTTTCAGGGGTTTGCATTCTGGGCACTTTTCAAGTTTTCTGCTTGGAAGCTCCATGATTAAAATGAAATTCTGGCCTCAGATTGAATGTTCCTGAGGCCACTGAGCAAAGGCCAGCTCCCCTCCTTCTCTTATGATCGCTTGTGTCTGTCATTGTTTGTTCTAGCTTGGGAACAAAGGGCCTTCCAAATTCAGCCCCCTCCCCCCAAAAAATCTCATCTTAGCAACAAGTAGGTGGGAAGCAACCTGGTGGAAATTGGTTGCAATCCAGTGGGTGGTCCGGACTACCTTCTCCCAGTGTGTTTCTCCACATATATGGCTGTTGCTGGAGTTAGTTTTAATAGGCTGTTGTGAGCATGGAAACCTGCAGAAGTGCACATTCTTTTCCAGACCCAAACTCTTCATTCCTTCCCTTGTTTGGATTTAGAAAACAGTCTTTCTCCCCTGTTAACTGTGAATTGCAGCCTATGGTGGAAATCCAAGCGACTGATGTAGTGATATAGTGATGTGTCAGCCACCCCTACTGGCTAAAGAGGCAAATGCTACTTGCTGTCTTTTTATACCTGCTCTGTTTGATGCCAGTGAAACTGGAAGGGTCTTTAAGCTCTCTTCCTTTCTACCTCGGGACTATATTAAATGTGTGTGTAAATACATTTGCTGGTGTGCTTAACGTTCTTAACATCGTTCACCATGAAGTATACAATAGAGTGATTAGCAAAAATTAATTGATCTGCCTTCTGCTACTCGCCCAGTTTAATCCATCATGAACTTTCCATGCTGTCTTATTGTCTATTTTTTGTCTTTCCTTTTCCTTCCTTCCTTCCACTTCAGAAGAGATTTTTGGCTAGTTTAAAACAAGACCATCCTTTACTACCTTATAGGGGCGCTATAGGTTTAATATGACTTCTGTGCCTAATAAAAGAATTACTGTTACGATTAGCCCCTACTTTGCCATATAACTGCAACTTTTGGGTGAAGTTACCTGGGTATCTAAAATTGCTAGTCTATCTTTGTAGGAATCCAAGGATTTATTGCAGTTAGAAAGGATAAATAAAAATACTGTATTTCATTGTTATTAAATCTGAAAAAACTTCACTTTGACTAGTTTTCTGAGTAGGTCTTGGAATCCACCTCTCTGTGCTTACAGAAATGTAAGTCACATTGTAAGACAAAAATCCCTGTGCATATGAGAATCATTTGGCTTTGTAATAAGCCAGTGTTACTATTATTTATTTTACTATTACATGTTCATTCCACCTTTTCTACAAATATCTCTGGATAATGTATCTAGTTTCTCCATCTTGCATCTTCATAACAACCCTCCAAAGTAGGTTAAGCTGAAAAAGAGAGCTAAACTGTAGACATAGTCTAGAGGGGCAGGGTAAAAATCAAATAAATAAATAAATAAATTTGTTGTTGTTGTTTAGTCATTAAGTTGTGTCCGACTCTTCATGACCCCATGGACCAGAGTACACCAGGCCCTCCTGTCTTCCACTGCCTCCCAGAGTTTGGTCAACGTCATGTTGGTCGCTTCAATGACACTGTCCAGCCATCTCGTCCTCTGCCATCCCCTTCTCCTCTTCCCTTCGCCCTTTCCCAACTTCAGGGTCTTTTCCAGGGAGTCTTCTCTTCTCATGAGATGGCCAAAGAATTGAAGCCTCAGCTTCAGGATCTGTCCTTCCAGTGAGCACTCAGGGTTGATTTCCTTTAGAATGGATAGGTTTGTTCTCCTTGCAGCCCAGGGAGCTCTCAAGAGTCTCCTCCAGCACCACTATACCAGGTAGCAACTTTGCAATTGGAAACACTTTGCAACTGGAAGTAGAGATTCTCTGAATAACTTTTGATTATCCCCATAGAAGGTTTTCCCTGTCCTGTGAGTTGCAAAATAGTTTTGCTTTGCTTGGTTCTTGGTTACTGGGATGTAAACAAGGTCTTTTTTTGATGGTGCAGACTTGGTAGCTTTGAAGGAATATGTGAGAGGAATACAAAAGGATAAGATATAAGAGACAGAAAGAGAATGAATTAGTGCATAGAGTGGAACACCAGTGGATCTGCAGCTGGTCCACCAGCGGTGTATGTTGGGAGATGGTGTGGAGGGGAATGTACCAATTAATAAAGTTCACTGGGTGTTTTCTGGATGAAATAATTTGTCTCCTTTCAGTAATCTTCCTCCTGGTTTTTCTTCTTCCTCAGATAACCATACAGATATGATGGAAGTGGATGGCGATGTTGAAATCCCTCCAAACAAAGCAGTGGTGCTACGCGGTCATGAATCTGAGGTATTCATCTGCGCCTGGAATCCTGTTAGTGACCTTCTGGCCTCTGGGTAGGTTTTCCCTTAAGGGAGTCACTCATTTCAGTTCTTTACTTGAATTCTCTGGGCTCTTCTCCCCCCCCCCCCCCCGCCTGTGCATATGCATAATGGGAAAAAGGAATGCAGGACGGAGCAACTTCTAATAAGAATATGATCTCCCAGACATTTTGTTTTTCTGAAGTGTAGTGAAGCAGAAACATGTAAAATCGGGGACCATTTTCAAAAATAATAGCAGCGTATTTTTTACCTGAGTGCCATGGTGATTGATGGCTTCTCTGGGCAAGTGAATGAGATACTAAGAAGGTTTTCCAGTTCTACTACTGTTTATGATAGAAATATGTAGAAGAAACCAAGAGAGCAAGAAATTAACAATAATCAAGAAGTGGGATAGTAATTTTCTTTTCTTTGATAGAGTTCCGGTTTGACACTAGGATAAAATTCGGTTGTTAGTCCCAGCTAAATTGTGTCCACTGAATGAACAAAACTCGTTACATCAGCACTTAATTAAGGCCCAGTGGGATTCAGTGAGTCTGCTCTATTTGGAACTAAGAAGCGGATATGCCCCTAATGATTTTCTTATTTATAAGATGGCTTGTTTTTCTTAAAATAAAAGGATGCATGTCAGTCAGCTAGAGATAATGTGTTAAACTTCAGTGTGTGTCTTTTAGCTTTTGAGTGGAAACGCTATCAGTGGTACCCTTTAAACTGTTACTGTAGTCGGAAATAAACACCGCTGAGCTCATTCCCAGGTAAAATGATCCTAATAAATTGGGCAGTATATCATGTGCTGCTGCTGTTCTTCAGTGTCTGTGTGTTTCATTGTGTGTGTTCACAATGAGCTCCTGCACGTCAAAATTTGCCACGACATTGCTGCTTTTCTTGGCAACCATCCACTTTTTAAGGAGGTGTCCTTTTGCAAGGGCACCATGAGTCCTTTCTGTGTCTCATTGCAAAAGCATAAGTTGCTAGAGAATTTGTTCAACATGCAAGGAGTGCTTTGACAGAAGGTGGACCTAGAGGAAAGTTAAGTCATCAATACACTGTGAGCCAACTGGAAAGTGTCTGGGCTGGCCACTTATTACAGGGCCATATCATTATCCGGTGTTCTTTTCTGGTGGGGGATTGCACCCATGTGATTGTTGTGGCTCATAAAATTATTCCAAAACACAATGGTGGCAGCAGGCTTATTTATGTCCTCAACATGATGTAGTGCTATCACAGGTTTCTCTCAGAAATGTGATTGATGGAGTCCAGAGTCTTTTTAGAAGCCTTCCTGAGCCTCCTCCAAAGAAATATGGTTTTCTCCACTCCATCCTACCCTATTCCAGTTTTATTTTATTTCAGTGACCAGGAAAAAAAACCCTTTTGAAAAAGGGGTTCTGCTCCCTTCCCGTTGCATACAGAGGGACTCTTCTAACCCCATGGGGGATGCTCAGGGCACAAAAATGGCCAGAGTCTTGAAGCTTGACCATCACTGGTTCTTGTGGCTGTGTTATGAAATCCAACAATTTTGGAATTGCATTCTTTTACATGTTAGTTTATTTGCCAGTTTTCCCTAATTTGCATTATATTACAAGGGGAGTGGTTAGAATATATAATCTTATAATCTTAGAACTGCAGGTTGGAAGGGGCCCTTATGGATCATTGAATCCAGCCCCTGTCAAGGATGCACAGTGGGGAATCGAACTCCCAGCCTCTGGCACTGCAGCCAGCAACGTAAACCACTGAGCTGTCCAGAAGTTATTGTTGTCCTGTCTTTGGGTATGCTTTGTATCAGCACAGTCCTCTTTCCAAGCCCCTAATTGGGCCTTGGGAAGAGGACACATGCCTTCCCCCGACACCACTGCTTCTATTTTTATTTATTTTTATTTAACATATTTTTACCCCACCTTTCTCCTTAAAAAGGACGAAAGGTGGCTTACATCATTAAAATATTTAAAGCTAAAAATAGTAAGTACAATATACAAGGCTCAAACAGATACCACACATTATTTAAAGCTAAAAATAGTAAGTATACAAGGCTCAAACAGATACCACACAACTAGGTTCTTGGCTCTTTGCAATAAGGAAAATGATAGCCATGTTACTTCTAAGCTGATGAACATGTTGGTATTTGAAGCAGTCAGATGAGGGCTGTGTACTTTACTACACATTTGGGAAAGCAGATTAGAAGGTATTTTAGCAAAGCAAGCAAACAAACAAAAACCCTTATAGTTGTAAACAAGCAGGACAGCCCACATTTTTTGTTGACGTAATGGATTCTTCTCGTGTACTCAGAATTTCTTAAAATGTTGATCTGCTTATTTTGCAGTTCAGGAGATTCAACAGCAAGAATATGGAACCTTAGTGAAAACAGTACCAGTGGATCCACGCAGCTGGTCCTTCGGCATTGTATACGAGAAGGAGGCCAGGATGTACCGAGCAACAAAGACGTGACTTCTCTTGATTGGAATGTAAGCAGAAATGTTAAGGGTTTATATCATTCTTCGTGAAATTCCAGTGTTTTCAGACTTGAGGTCTACTGGTTGTTTACAAGGGAGGGGTTTCTTAATTTCTACTTTGAACTGTGAGTCGGATATTCTTTTTGTTGCAGAAATGTTGCCATTTTGTATATCTGGGTATATTTTGTATATCTAGTTATGCAAACCCAGTGTCAAGAACTTGTTAAACAGCATATTTGTGTTAATCCAGTGTCAAGGCCTCATTAGGAATCATTAGGGATCCAAGAAGCTTTCTGAAGGATTTAACACATCTAGCCAGTATTTCTTATGTGTATAGACAGTTGTTTTCCAGAGTTCACCAAGAGTTTTTCCAGCACATCCTGGAGATGTAGGGGATAGAACCTGCGAACTCTTGAACACAAAGGGTGTGCCCTGCCTCTGAAACACAACCCCATATTATGAGCAGGAGTAGGGCTGCTGTTAAAATTGTATACAAGTGAAATTCATGGTTGAGCTTAGAAGTCTCTACATGGAAGTTTTGCCCACTTTGATAGGCAAACCACCAAAGAAATTTCAAGGGAAAGAATCATTGCACGTGGCATTTCTCCAAAGAGTTGTCTGAGAAGATTAGTCCCATTTCCTCAAACTGTTGCACCTGCATGGCGGAAATAGAATGGGATGAAATAAGCGGAAAGTAGTCCTTGCAAATGATCTTCTTGGTGCAGGACGGGGGGTCACCTTGAGTGTTTGGGTTGGCATGGAGCATGTCCTGAGTGGCTTTAGTCAGAACTGGGTACAGTGTTCAGTGGGGTTTACTCCCCCATACATATGCAGAACTCCATGGCCTCTATATCTGTTCCCAGCAAAGAGAGCACTGCCAACTTTATGAAGATGCTGGCTTTCTCAGATGTGGTCTCTTGAGGTAATCACCTAAAAATCTTAAATGTTTTGTCTCACAGAGTGAAGGGACACTTCTAGCAACGGGCTCCTATGATGGATTTGCAAGGATATGGACTAAAGATGGTAAGCACACCATTTTCCAGACCTTTTCCCCATTCTTATGCAGCGGGTTCCAGGTTAATTGTTCTTTAAAACAAAAGCACCAGACACATATTCTAATGAATACTCTCTTTAATTTTTAGGTAATCTTGCCAGCACGTTAGGGCAACATAAAGGTCCCATATTTGCATTAAAATGGAATAAGAAAGGCAACTTCATTTTAAGTGCAGGTGTGGACAAGGTGAGAAGACTTATTTAAAATTCATTGTTGCAAGATTAAGTTTCAAAGTATCAGTAGTGATGGGTTTATATTAGCAGGTAAAAGACAGTTAAATTATGGAAGGTTGCCTGCCTTTTGGAATAGCAATCTTGCTCTGAATTGATCAGGCTGGTAATATAGCAGATGATTTATATGCAGTACAGAGAGCAGACATGATCTCTTAATGCAAGAAGAAATCACAATACAGTCCACTGTTGTGACAGGGAGGAGAGCTATCAAATAAACGAACTCATAAAAGCAGATGAGAACTCCTGTGGCTGAATCAGTTTAAAACTAGGAACTGGCAAGTACATGGAGAATTGCAAAAAAAAATAAATAAATAAAAAATCTTATTTACATATGATGTCCCCATGAATTTCCTCTCATTCCCCCAAAGAGCTATCTTGTCTATCACAGAGCAGGAAAACTACATATATTGTGCAAGGAGTAGCACCCAGCACACTCTCCTGGCTTTGTCCCATTTTTCTTGGAAGTTTCCCACCTAAATAGAAAGATGCAACCTCAAATCCATGAAATTAGTTTAAGAAAAAACTTTTGATTAATCAGAACAGTGTCCTCAATTGCACAAGAGAGGAAGAGAATAATGGATTAGTGGATTGTTTATTTTATTGGGTTATATTCTGTCTTCTTCCCAAACCTAAAACACGGAGTGGTTCACCAGATCAGTTTTCAAAGATGTGTTAGATCTGTTCAAGCATGGGGAAAAAAGGTTTGCGGAACCTTTAAGATTAACAGATTTATTTCATGGATTATGCAAAATCCACAAAAATGAATCCCCAGAAGCTCATGTAAATCTGTTAGCTTTAAACATGTCACAATATATATTTTCTTTTGTATTATAGATCACGTGTTCAAAACAAATATAGATAAAAAGATATGAAAGATTAGCATTTTTAGGGACAGTTAGATTAATGATAATATTAAAACATGAATGAATAAAAGTAATTTAAAAGATGATCTTTAAAAAATAGGAAATACAAGCGGTGGAACATGTCAGTTAGAAGCCCTAACCTTACAGAAAAACCTGCTGGAATTAAAAAAAATGCCTGCCAGTTGAAAGACAGTATGAAAGTGCCCAGTCTAACCTACTGTGGATGATGATGATGATTCCCATTGGGTATCCCATTGGGTTGCCTACATATGGAAGGGAAGTCGCAGAAACTACCATGGCTATTTCTCCCTGTGATTATACATATGGCTAGACAAATAGCCACAGCTACTTTTTTGATTTCTGTTGTACATGTGGAAGATCTTATGGGATACTGGCCTTAGTATGTTAACTTACTTTGTATTCAAGGCTGTCCTGGGAAGTGTTAACATGACTAAAAAACTTCCTGACTGTTAGAGCAGTATGGCAGTGGAACCAGTTACCTCGAGAGATGGCGAGTGCTTCAATACTGGAGGTGTTCAAGAGAAATTTAGACAGTCACCTGGCAGATATAGGCCCCTTCCAACTTCATGATTTTATGATTCTGACATAACATTGTCAAACTTTGCTCCTTAGTCTCAAAAAGGGCTTTTTCTTAGGAAAGTCAGTCACAATCAGAGTAAGAGAAGATAGGAAAAAGAAGTATATGAACTTTAAAAGGTTGCTTCTTCTTGGGTAGAACTCTATGTTTGTGGGAGTGAGAGAGAGACATAAATAGTGTCCACATAGGAGGGGCAGCTTACAGCCCCCAGCAGAGAGGGGGTGTCTCTCGATTGATGATGAGAGCCATCCCACTGCTCTGACCCCTACCTATCAAACAGGCTGTATTGTACGTACTTAGAAGAGCCAGAAAGTCATGTTGGTACTTACCATGTTACGTTCATTTTATGTAATGAAAGAAGAGATCTTGAACATCAGGTTGTACTGCTTAACTTGTTTTGAATGTGACTCTCAGTTCAGGATTGTCTCCTCAGCGACATAAGAAAAAGCTTCTGCTTGCAGCAGTGTATAGCCTGGCATAGCATAGTATATCCACCCTTTCTCCAAGTACAGGACCCAAGCCACATCACATCATGAGCCAAAACAAAAACTACTAAAACCTCCCACAATTTGTTATATTAACCAACAATTAAAAATAATTAGATGAATCACCGCAAGCACTGAATTAAAACAAGATTTCAAAAAGCACTGAATTAAAAGCCATTTAAAGCCACATAATAGAACATTAAAATATATGACACCCACCATTAAAATACCCTTCAGTTAATGGCCAGAAGCCTATCTGAATGAAGTCTTTGTCTGCTGTTGGAAGGAGAGAGCAGTGTGAGCCAGCCTAGCCTTCTGTAAAAGGGAGTTCCAGAACCTCAAAACAGCCACTAAAAAGCTATCTTGTTCTCACCAAGCAGGCATTTGAGGACAATGGGACAGAGAGAGAAGGGCAGGAGAAAGGCTTACCTCAAAGATTTAAGATCCAGGTAGATTCATATGGGGAGATCTGGTCTTTCAGACAGCCTAATCTGAAGTAGCTTTAGTATCCACATCTCACATTACATGCAAAAGGTAAGAAAAAACATACGTTATGAAACTTTCACAAGAACAGGAGATGGCATGTAATTGGAAGTCAAGAAGGAGGTTAGGACCCTTTCCACAACATAATCTATTCTTGGCTCCTTTGGGTGGCCCAGTGGCAGGGAAACCTATGGTGAACGGTATACATATCCTTGAGAATAACATCTAAGTAGTAACTAAGGCAAAACATGGCAGGCCTGCAAATATTGGAAGGGAAGTATGTTTAATAGGAGTATTCTAAGGAGTGATATAATGGTCAGAATAATGATAAGAAGAAAACTGTTAGGAGTTTCTCTTAGTAGAAAATTGTAAGTACTGTAGTAATTTTATAGTGGTTGACCTGTAAAAATATGATATTGCATAAGAATGGCCCAGCAACATTTGTAGTATTTGTTGTTATCTTGCCTTTGTTCTTTGCATTCAGACCACAATTATCTGGGATGCACATACTGGAGAAGCCAAACAACAGTTTCCTTTCCATTCTGGTATGTATTTCTTTTGAAAGAAGCCATTGCTTTTCTGAAGGAAAGAAGGAACAGTTCTCAGTGAAAGCCAATTTCCTTCACAGTGGTTGTGATGGGATATGTGTGGCTTGGGCATTTTTGTTTTGTTTTTTAATTGTTCACAAAATACCTCTGCTAGGCAACATCTTTTCACTTTGCATTTCAGTTGGTTCAGTTTTGGAAAACAACAGCAATGTTGACATCTGAATCATTTCCAAGTTAATTTGTATCTTCTTTTATAAACCAGTCCTTTCACAAAACCACCCTTACCTTTGTTCTTTATCAGTCAAATCTCTTAATTTGTGGGTTTTCTGAGCCTTGTTTTAATAGATCTTGCCTTCATTCTTGGTCTTAGGGGATCACTTGAGAAATAATGTTTCCAACTTTTTTTTGTATTTGATTACACTTGAAATATGCTTATTTTGATTGTACTATTCCAGCAAGCCTAAGAGGTAGTAGCATAGAATCATAAAATAATTGAGTTGGAAGGGGGCTATAAGACCATTGAATCCAACCCCCTGCTCAGTGCAGGAATTCAAATCAGAGCAGACCTGACAGATAGTTGTCCAGTTTTCTCTTGAATGCCTCCACCATTCGAACACTCACCACCTTCCAAGATAATTGTTTCCATTGTTGTACTGCTCTAACTGTTCAGTAGGTTTTCTTGATATTCAGTCTAAATCTGGCTTCCTGCAGCTTGAGTCCATTATTACATATTAGGTTAAACTGGTAAGGCAAACCAATAATGATTTTTTAGGCCATCCCCAGTGTTTCATGGCAAAGCAGCCATGCAAATGAACCTGGGTTGTCCATAGCTACATCAGAGATCCCTCCAGATTCTAACCCAGCTGGCTCTTTGGTTGAAACCATAGGGCTTGGCTAGTATAAAAGCCTTTTAGGGAGGGGACCACACCTCCTCCACAGGGCAACAGCTGGTTTGGCCAATTCCAGAAATAGCCTTGGGCAACATTCCCTCTAAGACACGCAGACAGATAGCGCTGCATTGGGTGCGCACAGCCGACCCAGTGTTTCTGCCCATTTGCTTCCAGTTGTGGCTGGAATTCCATGCTCATGGGGTGAAGCCCCTATGCAGCTCTCTGGAAAATTAGAGGGAACGTTGGCCTTGGGTCTCAGCACAATAAGAAGTCAGCGTTGTCACTGTCTGCTCAATTTTGCCTTCATAGAATCATGAAGTTGGAAGGGGCCTATAAGGCCATTGAATCCAACCCCCTGCTCAGTGCAGGAATGCAGATCAAAGGATATACGTGTCAGGTGGTTGTCTAAATTTCTCTTGAATGCCTCCAGTGTTGGAGCATTCGCCACCTCTCAAGGTAATTGATTCCATTGCTGTACTGCTCTAACAGTTAGGAAGTTTTTCCTGATATTCAACTGTTTTACCCTTCAGACCTTGGGGGACCCTAAGACCCGTCACTAGCCTCCTTACTCCCCCCCCCAAAAAAAAACAGAAAGTACCCATCTGATTTCAGCCATTTCTGGGCCAGGTGCAGGAAGGCTCATGATGGCCAAGCCCATCCCTGCAATAAGGTATGAATCCAATTAGTACGCCCCATTGAATCAACAGAACTCCCATAAGTGTGGTCTTATCAAGTCCCATTCATTCAATGGGTCTACTTGAGTTGAAGTTAAACATTGGATTTACTCCAAGGCCTTTTTGCTGGAGTGAACTATAGAACCTATTCTGGATTTCCCTCAATGCACTGCCCTCTGAGTTGCGCACTGATGTCTTTGATACAATTTCCCTCATGATCATAAGATGGATGTGATAGTTCTTATACTTTTTCTCCCTTTCTGTCAATAGCACCAGCGCTAGACGTTGACTGGCAGAGCAACAACACATTCGCCTCCTGTAGCACAGATATGTGTATTCATGTCTGTAAATTAGGCCAAGATAAGCCCATCAAAACCTTCCAGGGCCATACAGTAAGTAGCCTTTTTTTGTTTCACAGCGTTTGAAAGTTACATTTCATTTACTCCATGCTAGAGCCACTCATGGCACAAAGTTAAAAGGGTGGGGAGGAGCTTAGAATGTCCACAACCAAGGGGAATGCCTGAACCCAAAGTAGCAGGGTGTGGCACTTATCCCTACCGAGATTGTGGGACACTGCTTATAAAGCTATGGCTCCAGAAATGTCATGACATTACAGGGGAAATTTATGAGATACATACCACTGTTCTAAAACCCAGCTGCAGCATCCTTGCGGGATTCTTTGGCAATCATGAGTGCTTTGAAAAGCAGCTAAGCTTTTCAAATTCTTAGGAGAGGTAGAAACAGCATGCCTCTTGCCTGTTGTAGCGATATAACCTTGTTTTGCTGATACGGTGCTCTGGTGTTATTATTAAGAGGGTGCTTTTGGCCATTTCCAGAGATGCCAAGGAATCTTGTAAATAAAGAGACAATAAAACATCTGCTCTCCAGCTAGAAGGATTTCCCTCTGAACTGAATGGGACAGGCATAAACTGTTCATAGGTACCCTTGGGATTCGCACTTTCATTAGGTCCTTCTGTTATAAGGATACAATAAAAAACCCCACAGACCTCCTTGACTCAGAGAAACTTCTAGGTAGAAATGTTCTACTACATTTCCAGCATCCCACCATTCTACTTTATTTCCAGCCCGTGCCCAGTTTTAAGTTTCGTGCCGTGTGACTGCTGAGTTGAGAGAGAGTCTTCTTTCCTTTCCTTTTGCTGTCCTCTGTGTAAAGCCTACAGATACCAAAGGTATTTTCCCTGTTCAATTTCAGAATGAAGTTAATGCAATCAAATGGGACCCCACTGGTAATCTACTGGCATCGTGTTCTGATGACATGACTTTAAAGGTAAAAGTGAACTAGCTTTTTTATGCTATACTTTCCTAGCCTTGCTATTGAGAGCACAGCTAATGAAATCTTATGCAGAACTTTGAAATGCCAGTTGTCGGTCCTGATGGGCATTTCCAGTAATCTGTGGGAAAATGGGAGTTGATGTCCTAGAAAACTATAAGAACTACCTTGTTGTATCAAACCCATCATGTCTGTCTCCCATATTGATTACTCTGCACTCCCACCACCATGTTTCATGTTACTATACCCCAGCATTAGGAATTGAAAGATAGCCAGTAGCCATTGGCAGACCTGGCTTCCATAAGTTTGCTTCCAAAGCCATTTATGCTTGTGGCCTTCAGAATACTGTATGTCAGGACTTCATGGAATGTTTCAGTGACTTGAGCAAAATGTTGCTTGGAGATCTGCATTCTTTTCTTAGTGGTGCTTTTACTGCCAACCAATTTAATTGACTTCTTCACTTTTCTGAGCTGAATTATGCCAAGCCCGCAGGGAACTTACTTTGCCAAGACACGCATCTATCCCTCCTGTCTAGCCTTCACTTTTCTGAGCTGAATTATGCCAAGACACGCACCTATTCTCCTGTCTAGTCCTGACTTAGTGCCGATAGTGGCTGGTCATTGCCCAAAAATCATATTGCACTTAAAGGGAATTTCTCAAATGGGTGTTCATACGGTTCACATTTGTTTGTGTGTTTGGCCATCTGTCACATGCCTAAACGCACAAATAAATGCACAGCATGGTTACGTCCGTGTTGCACACCCATGTTGCATACCAGCCCGCCAGAATGATCATGTTGAACTGTTTCTGGATTACGTCGCGTGACTACAGTTGGATTCTGGCTGCTTTTCTCTTGCGCAGAAGTTCTGTAGTTTGTTTCATTGACTATATATACCATCTGAGCACTATTCTGGGCAATTCACAACAAGTGAAATAACAGATGGATAACAAAAACATGTGAAACTATTTTTAAAAAATCAGAATAAGGATAATAAAAAGGCACTTTCTCTATGAAAGTGAAAGCAGAGGCAGAGGGTCATTATGGAAGTACTCCATGGAGACCAGTGTTTTAAGCTGTATTTTGAACCTTAGCAGGTTAGGGGCCAGGGAATAACTCCATTGACAGCTGGTTCCATTAAGTTGGTGCCACCGCAAAGAAGGCTCAGCTCCTCCTTGTACAAGACTTCCAGGCCTCTCTTGGAGTGGGAACTCAGAGGAGCATAGCCTGGGAGGATCTGGAGGGTTGAGCAGATGACATTGGGGAGAGAGAGACTTGGAAAAGTAGCGTCTACGTGAAGTAAATGAGAGAAATGTAGGAAACTGCCTTGTACAGAGTCAGAGGGACAGATCATTTAGCTCACTACTGTCTGCACTGAATGGCTCTCCACAGTTTCAGGCAGGGGTACTCTGAAGTATTAATACTGCCCACAGGACTTGAACGTTACCATGTAGGTTGCAACCTATTTGCTTATGTAGCAGGGTAACTGACTCAAAGCCCAGAATAGAAGTGTCTGTTGCAAATGGTGGACCTCAATGCAAAGCAGCATTTTGCCTATTTTACCCATGTCTCTATGACCCTTTTGCCTCAGCAGCTTGCTCCGTGAAAATCACCAGGCTCACACACAGAGCAGACTGCCTCCGTATGTCAACCTAAGCTTCAGGATCTGCCAAGCTATGTTTACATTGTGAATTAGGCTAGAATTGTTGCAGCAAAGTATGTCACTCCTTAAATCCCAGGCATTACTAGTCAGGCAAAAGATTTACTGGCCTGTTTTTTCCTGGTTGGAGTGAAAGATAGGCTTGTAAAAAATGTTGTAGGCTAGAAGCAGAGCAGACTGGTGCTGTCTTCATTTTTGTCCTGGCTACAGAGGAAGTTAAAGCTTTCCTTCATGGTGGGTACAGTGTTGTGTGGAGATTTGGGAGATGCAGGTTCTTGTCCTGAAGGAACCAAGAAACCCAGTGGGTGACCTTGGATCTTAGCTCACTGAAAGGCTGGTGAAGGAAGGATCTGTTCCTGTTTATGTAAGGTTTGCATAATTTGCTGTGACTGATTGATGAGGTGCTGGGACACATCTTAAAAATGTGCCTTTGTAGAACAAAGATGCATCCTGGCACTTCATCAGCTAGCCACAATTAACCATGATGAGTTACATAAATATTACCGGTATGTGAACTTTAGTGGGATTCTGACAAATATGTCCCTCTTTCACCAGCCTTCTCTTTCACCTGGAGAATATTCTGTGCATTTAACTTTGCGGGATTCTTGATTAACTTATTGGGCAGGTGTTTAGAAACAAAATTGCCGTAATTCCCTCTTGATCAGAGACATTTTCTGTCTCTCAGGCATGAATCTGGTATAGAGTTATTTTCACATTTCAGAACTGTACGACCAACTAGAATCTTATTGATTCATCCATCCGTCCATCCATATAAGCACACCATCAATTTAGAATTGGTGTCTTGTATCCAGAATATGAAATTTTCCTTTTAAAAAACCCTGCTGCTTTTGTTTTTTGGAGGACTGCAATATTTGTGAGGTAACCTTTCATTTAGAGTTAATAAAATCTGTATTGTTATTGATGTTTTGTTTTCTTTATTGGCCCTGCCTAGATCTGGAGTATGAAACAAGATAGTTGTGTCCACGATCTACAAGCACACAACAAGGAAATTTACACTATCAAATGGAGTCCGACAGGGCCAGGAACAAACAACCCAAACGCCAATCTTATGTTAGCAAGGTAACATTGAGCTTGGTTTTCTTCATGTGAATAAGAAGTAGGCAAGCCAGTTAAAGGGTCTCTCAGCATCTTCTTGAAGTTCTTCTTTAGAGAGAGAAGCTTTGAAGGGTATAATCCCCTCTTCCTGCTCTGAACAGAGGGATAGTTCAGGATGAGATAGGCCAAGCCTTCCCCCAGGATATTGCAGATATTTACCCTCTTTTATGCTATGATGCTCACAGATCACACAAATGCCAAGAATCGGAAGGAACATCAAATATATTGAGCCTAATTAGTGTAACGATTATGGTGAGGAGCTGAGACTTGGGATCTCCAGATCCTTGTCTCCATGGACCCAAGAAACCAGCTGAGTGACTGTGGACTAATCACCCTCTTTCACCCAAAACAACCTCACAAGGCTGTTGTGAGATAATGTAGATTGGAGGAGAAACCTTGAGCTCCTGGGGGGGTAAGCGGGATGTAAATGTAACTAATAAGTAAGAAAGATAGGGCCAGTTGGCACACAACCCCAGCATTTCAGATGATGCCAGGAGTGCACGAGCATTTTGGCCCAGAGAACCACATGTCATGATGGCTAAGAAGGGTTTCATAGACTTAGGTAGGCACAGACATCTGAATAATCCTCATTCCCCAGTGGAAGGAACCAAGACATTTGTGTGTACTCTACCGCCTCCATCAAGTAAGAAAGGTGCAGTCTACCAGGCAGAGAGTATGAAGAATAGGTTCTCAGTTCCCTTCCCCAGAGATCAAAATAGGATATTTATAGGGATCTTGCAGGGAGTAGGGGAAGAATGGAGGGCTTTCTCTCCTTCCGTGGTGGCCTATCTGAAGATTTCTAGTGTGATCTCATGGGATCTCATTTTCTACTTTAAGGCTCGTTTACCCTTATTTGGAGAGATTCTTTGGGCCTCTTTTGATCTCATTTTTATTCTAAATAGTTTGAGGTCATCAGCAAGCTTTGCCACCTTACTACCTACTCTTGACCACATTTATGAACAAATTGAAAAGCTCCAGTCCCAGGACTATTCCCTAAGGAACCATTCAGCATGAGAACTGGCTATTATCCCTTCTTAATCCCCTTTCCAGTCCATAAAACAAACCTCTCCAAGTCACGTTTTCTAACTTTGCTCAGAACTTTTGGGTGAAAGACGGTATCAGAAATCCTTTTAAAGTCCAAACAAACAATGTATATCGGATGGCTCCAATCCTTATATTTGCTGATACCCTCAAAAACAAAATGCATGTATAAGACAAGCGTGGGTGCACTTTCAGGTTTTTTTTCACAATAATATTAAAATTCAGTTTTGAGCATAAGAACGTTCCTAATTTAGCTTCAGAACCTTGCTCCATTTAATCTGTAAGGGACCCCAGCATCTCTCCTTTGTCTCATACAGGAAACCTTCCCAACCCTGTAGTCTGAGCTCGGAATTAAACCTACAACTAGTGCTCTAATGCTCAAATATGGCCACTTCCCACAGTAACCTCCTTATACTGAGTAGACTAGTCTACTCTAGTCTACTAGTCTACTCTAGTCACCAGTGGCCACTTCCCACAGTAACCTCCTTATACTGAGTAGACTAGTCTTTGCTGCTCATACTTGCAGATTTTTTCTTCCCGTTTCTTAGGTTGGCGTTTTTCCTCAGCCCAAAAGAGATTATGCCAAGATCCATGATCTGTGTGTGTCTATTTTAAACTGAAAGTCACTGGGATTAAATCTAGTTCATTAGACTAGTCTTTGCTGCTCATACTTGCAGATTTTTTTTCTTCCCGTTTCTTAGGTCGACGTTTTTCCTCAGCCCAAAAGAAATTATGCCAAGATCCATGATCTCTGTGTGTCTGTTTAAACTGAAAGTCACTGGGATTAAATCTAGTTCATGAGATCCTGATACTTTCCCACAGAGTTGTGGATACTTTGAACAGGAAGTACGCTGTGTCAGGTTCCCACTAGGAGGTATTTCGTGTCAGGGCATTAGGTCTTTCATCTTAGTAACTCCTGCTCTGATTTGCAGCATCTCTCAAAGTAGGAAAAGTTGGAAAAAGTTTTATCTTTGTACTAAAACTTCCAGAAGTCTCTAGCTAGCATGGCTATGACCATGCAAAAAGTAACTTTTCCAGGTTCTGTCTCTGAGATGTGAAATGGCAATATTTTCTACTTCACCTCCCTTTTTTTATTATTTTATTTTCAGCCTTCCTTCTTCCACTCTAGATTCTCTCCCTCAGTACATTTTATAGAATTTTCAAATACATCCATTTCTCTTGTGTTGAAGGGGGGATATTGAAAACAATACAGCATCTAACAAAGAGAGAGAGTTTGTGTGTGTGTGCACGCGCATGTGTGTGATTTGTATAAATATATAAAATGACTACCTAGAATTCCACTCTTTGTCTCCCTGGCAGTGCGTCCTTTGACTCTACGGTTAGGTTATGGGATGTAGACAGAGGAATCTGCATCCACACTCTGACAAAGCATCAAGAACCTGTGTACAGTGTAGCTTTCAGTCCTGATGGCAGATACCTGGCCAGTGGCTCTTTTGACAAATGTGTACACATCTGGAATACACAGGTATGACTCCTTAGGTGCTGAGCTTTTCCTGATTCACTTCCTAGACTTCTTTCATAAACAACTTGACCAAGGGCCGTGTTCTCCCCCCGAGATCCTCCAGGGGCTACAAAAAACCCAGAATTGCAGAAAACCATTTTTGAAAGTTTTTTTGGCCATAAACAGCAAGTTTTATGAAAAGTAAACAACCGGTCCTAGAACTTCAAATACTGGGAATTCACCTTTTTTGCTGAAGAAAACTATTATTTTCTTCTTTCAGAAGGGTTGGGGGGCTTGTCTCATAGCATTATGGGGTGTTTTGCATATTTGTGTGTTTTAAGTAAGATACTCTACACCAGTGGTTCTTAACGTGGGTGATAATGCCCTCCAGGGGGCGATTTCATTTTTCAGGGGGGCGGTAGAACAAAAAGGGGCGGCGTGGGGCGCTGGAGCAGAAGGGAGCAGTAGGGGGCGCTGGAGCAAGCCAAACCTGTGAAGATGGCTGCAGCCTTTTTACAATGTGCATGAATATATATTTTCTTCCTATCTTAATTTAGTTTCAGAGTTTTCGTCTTGAAATTTTTA